TGGCTAGTTTTTCATAATATGATAAATTAAAATTTGAATTCTCACAATAAGAAATATTTACATTTAATATCCGACCATATGTACCTCAAATAAGATTGTTTTTAATAGAAGAATGTTGTGTGCAATAAAAAAAAGAGGGAATAAGATAATAATCACATTCAAGGACAAAAATTGTGAATATCATATTTTGTCTAGGTCCTAATAAATAAATAAGGTAACATTCATAATAAAGTAATAAAAAAGAGAAAATAATAAGAATGAAAATAAAAAAAATATTTTATAACAAAAAATATAAAAAAATTTAAAAGGTATTGAATATGAATATAATAAAAAATATAATCAAGTTAGATCACAATCTAATATAATAAGTTGAATATAATAATAAGAATATTATGTAATATAATATTATGATTTGAAGATTTTTAAAATAATATAATCTAATATCTAAAATTACGATTTGAAAATTTTAAAATAATACAATGATTAGGATATAATAATAGAAAAGATAATAATTAATATCCAATCTTTAATAATAATAATAATATATAAAAATCCTAATTGTGATCATGATAGGATTGAGATTTTTGAGAAAATCTAGATATAGAGATCTATATAAAGAAAAACAAAGGTAGAGCAAATGACAGTTGGAGAGATTGAAGGAAGGAAGAAAAGAGGAGACGATAAAGGTCCAAATTGATCAAGATTTATAGAGGCAAGTTCACTTTTCCTTGAGTCATAGATATGCTTGTATATTGGTAGAAGAAGATTTCACAAAGTTGGCTCTTAAAAATTAAGTCATAAATTCTTTAATGGTTAGCATTATAGAAAACATTAACCTGCATACACGCCGATTGCCTTCTTGTCTTGAATCCTCGAATGTTCATCTCATATTTGTGTCTCCACATGATTTGTGCGTCCAATTATGACTCATTCTTGGCTAATCTTTTTATCCTTTGTATTCATGCGTGAATTAAATTTTCCTTTCTCATGCCATATGCCAAAGTAACGTGATGTGAGACTTTAACATGGACTTGATGAATTTATGTGTAGAATATAATTTTGAATATTTGCATATTTTATTCGACAATTTCATTTGCATTAGGCAATTTATAAAATTGCTAAAGAAGTCTTCATTATGGGAGTTGATATGGTGAGGAAATTTGGAGATATATGATGCCTGAAAGTATTCATGAGAAATTCTAAAAAAAAAAAAAACTTCAAGATTTAGATCTCAAATGAGTATTTATCGAGTCATTATTTACATCTATCGTGATTTTATCTTTGTTGCGTAAGATTTTTGAAGTCCACACAAGCTTATAAATTAATTAATTATTATCCTGTATATAGCAATAAATTATCGCATGTACACAATTTTAAAATTATCAATTGCATGAGACTTTCAGAATCCTCACAGATTTATGAATCAAATAGCTTCTCTTAAGCGGCGATAAATTATTGCAAGCACATATTTTAAAATATTTTATATTTAAATAAAAATAAAATTTTTTCCTAAAATAAATAAAATAAAATAAAATAAAATATTTTTGAAAGGTAAATGTATGAAGTTTTCATAAATCTTATTAAAATATTTTTCACAAAATTATCCCTCACGATTTTTTCACAAATAAAGAAATAAAATATTTTCATACTCCCTTTGGTCCTATTTATAAAGTAGCGAGAGAAGAATTTTTTTTTTGTTTTATTTATAAATTATGTCATTAAATTTTTATCATAATTTTTTTTACCCTCCATTAAATATTGAAAAAATAAACTATATTATTGAAGTGAGTATATTTAATAGGAAAAAAATTAAGAACTTATTAAATTTTAAGACAGAGTTAATGAGTTTTAAGGTTTTCTTTGGTACTGATGAAATATGTTAAAAGTAACTTATAAATAAGATTAAAATAGTAAATAAAAACTACAAACCAACATTAAAGTTATTTTATAAAATATTTAGTAATTAATATTTTTTTAAAAAAAGTTTCCGACCAAGAAATACACATTTTTACCTCGAATTATGTGAGTTTTAATCCCTTAAAAGGATAAATAGGCCCTAAAATTTTATTCAAGGTCAATTCCAATTTATAAATAAATAAAATTTTTCCTTCTAATTGTCTTACTTTATTTCTTATTTTATTAAGGATAATTAATATATTTTTAAAGGTAATTTAAATTTATATAGTTAACTTAAGATAACCATTCATATGAATGGGTGTTGTAGGGTACCTAACACCTTCCACGCACACAATCAACTCTCTTATTTTTTTCTCTTTATATAGACCATATAGTTAAAAAGGTTTTTAACATTACTCTTTAAAATTTTAATTGCAACTCCTAAATATTTATTTTCTCATTTGGAAAATTCCAGATGACACTTGTCTTATCCCTCGTATTCAAAGAGGTAATTACACATATTATTCCTTATAATTAGGCTGATCCATTCTCTTATTTCTATCTCTCCCCAAAATGGATTAAAATATATTATACCCAACCTGTGTCTCTTACTTAGAATTTAGACTACAGTTTAGGGGGGAATTATTGTATGACATTAATTTTGATTATGAGTAGATGGGTTGATGCTAGAAGAAAATTCTTTTTTTAAACAAAAATTGTAGTTGAAGTTATATATTTATTTCACAATTGATGTATTCTCTATTTTCATGAGTATCTTTTTTTTTTTTGCAAAACTATTTTCACGATTATCGATTGAATTGTTTTAATTCAATTGTGACTAATCAAATGCGTTATATTCAATTTTTAATAGTTACTGTTTTGTATAAAAAATGACAAATTATAAATACCCCTTTTAAGTTTTGTTATAATTGTATAAATTTTTTTTAAAATCAATATAAAATAAAAGTAAATTTTACGTGTTACACGAATTTTTTAGTGATTAGTAATTAGTATTAACTTATAAATAATGTATCTTTAGATTGTGTGTGTGTGTATTGATTTTTTTAGTTTCACCAAAATTAAGTATATCTTTTTAAATTATATGCAGACATTTCTTCAAATAATTAAAATGTTATCATAAATCAAATAAAATTTAGAAAAATTCGAGTAATTTTTTAAAATAGTATAACGGTCTTTTTCGGCATTTTCAAACCAAAAATATATTAAGAAATTTACTTTCTAGAATGCCAACGAGATTTATAGGATTTAAAAAATAAAAATAAATATATCCATACATTATATTAAAAGTGCAGTACTTCTCCAATCTCATATATTTATCACCTTCTAAAAGTATAATTTAATTTATTTTATAAATTATTAATTAATGAAATTATTTTATTTTAAATTAAAATTTTTAAATTATCCTTAAAAAAGAAGAGAGAGAAAAATAGTAAAAATAATATTATATTTTTTGTATATTTTTACTTTTTAATTGAAAATTATATTTAAAATTTCACTTAGTTTTATTCCTTTTATTTTTATTATATTAATATTAATAAAGTTAATAAAAATAACTTATAAATAATATTTAAGGGAGTATTTGTGTAAAAAAAGAAAAAATTAATCTTTTTAATCCTTCAATTTTTAACTCACTTGTAACTCAATTCTTTAACTATGACTTGTTACAACTCAGTCCCTCAATTATAACTCGTTACGACTTAGTCCCTCAACTTTTGATTCACTTATAATTCAATCCTTATTTTTTAATTTTTTTTAAAAAATTTTCTTATTAAATAAGAGGGATAAAAATGCTCATATATTATTTTAAAATACCATCCTCTTATTCTTTAATGTGAGATTTAAGCTAATATGAAAAAAGAGAATTAAAAAAAGTTGAGAGACTGAATTATAAGTAATTCAAAAGTTAAAGGATTGAGTCATGGGTGAGTCATAATTAAGAGATTGAATTATAAGTGAATTAAAAATTAAAATGCTAAAAAATTAATTTTTTTAAAAAAATTAAATAAAGACCACATGAACACAGTGGACTCTGCAAAAGCAGCATTGGCTGTTCAGTCCTGGCCCACCTGCTGTGCATTGTTTTGCATGGTCCTTTCTCTAATCAATCTATTCTCTCATAGCATACAAAAGCCAAGCCTCGTCACATGTTATCTGTCAAGACTGAAATAAATAAATAAGAGTTATATTTAGTCATAATTATTTTTAAATTATTAAAAATCAGATTAATTATTAAACTGATCAAGATTTTAAAATTTAATGGTCAGATTAATCATGCACGAAACATTTCATTGAATTTGAAAAATACTAGTTCAAAAGTTCATTAATTCAATCAACTGAATTGACTTGATTTTTAATATTATGATTATTTTTAATGTTTTTTTAGTAAAGTGATTACTCTAGATCTAAGACACACTTTGAAAAAGGCTAAGTGACAGGGGGAGAGGAAATTGTTAGTGTGATCAATACTTTGTTTTGAAATAGTCTAATAAAAAATTAAGAGCTTAACTGAAACATGATTTAAATGAATCAAAATGATTATAATCTGATAGAAAGTTATATTTTTTTTTATTTAACCAACACATATCCCATCTACAAGTGAAGAATTACCAACATCAATCAAAATTCAACTTAAAATTCTTGCGGAAGAAGAAACAAGAATTAGAAATGTGATTCTTGATATAAGCAGTTTGATGGTTGGGATCTAATACAGTATTATTTTTTATTTAATAAAAAGAATAAACTGACACTCTTTTTTTTTTTTTTAGTCGTTTTTGCCTCCTACGGATCCATGGACACAGAAAATTGCAGAAGCACACAGACTAGCGTGAAAAAATATAATATATTTTGATATCAGTGCAAGTGGGTTAATCTTGTGACTCACAATCATAATTTAGACGAAGACTATCTTCCCTTTTCTCCATAAACAATAATCATAAGCTTTGACATTGTTAGCAGAACATTACTTTGAAGATCTGGGCATCAAGCAGAAAATTAATGAAGTCAAATTCCAAATAATAATCAGCAACACATAGTAAGTTCACTCATTTAACTCCAATAAATGCCAAATCAAAAGGAAAAAGCATGAGTTGAAATGAACAAAAAAGAAAGAAAGAAAGAAAGAAAGTCGAGTATGAAACAAAAGAAGTCATTGTTTCTGTCCAAAACAAGAAAGAAGCAATATAGAGTCTGATTTTATTGACCACTTTCCATTAAGAAAAAGGGTATTTTCTCTGTATTATGGCTGATGGACTCTGTCTCCAAGCATGTTATTTCTTATCATGCTGTAGTGGGAAGCAGACGATAATGTTTATTGGTACCAAAATCTACCGCCAAGAAATACCCACTTTATCATTCTCTATAAATGTTTCACCCTCCATTGAAATCTGACACACTTTTTCTCTGATAGTTCACCTTCTGCTCCACAATCTCAAAAAGCTAATCTAAAGTTGAACCCCACAAGTTTCAAATCCCATTCCATGCCATATCCCCACATTCCTTTTTCTTCGTTAGGTACTTACCATCAAGTTTCATGCTCAAATATATATATATATATATATATATATGGAAGGTTAAATTCTCATGTGAAATCAAATCAGTGATGAGAATGCTTTAGGTCTGAAGAAAGAAAGAAGAAATGAGGGTTCTGCAAAAGCTCCGCCTTCTGTTCTTCATTGCAAGTCGTGTTTCTATGATGCTTCTTCTTCCACATGTGAGCTCATCCACAGAGAACATGGAAGCTATAGGTGGTCATTCTAGCAGCAAAGACAACAGCATCAAGGTATTCATGTATTTTTTTTTCCTGCATTTTCTTCTAAGTTTTGAATCTGGCATTTTAGATTCTTGGTTGGTTGTGATTATGAAGATGAACCCTAGGCTTGTGTTCGAGATTTCATTACATGGATTTCTTCTGTGGGCTTCAATGGGATTCTTGATGCCTGTGGGTATACTTGCAATCAGACTGTCTAATAATGGTGGGGCTAATCAAAGAAGGTTCAGAATGATTTTCTATGTTCATGCAATTCTGCAGGCAAGTCCTCCCGAATTTTCTCCTCTGTTTCCCCCTAAATTCTCACTTCCCTCTACCTCAGATTTAAGATTTTCTCTGCGATCTATTAGCTTTAATAATTATTCACTTTCTAGTACACAGTGTATATTTATTTTACCTTGTAACTTAATATTAAAGAGGAATGAGGGAGGATTGCACTTTAAATTAGATTACTTGGGTCAGTTTTCCTGAATCTGATGATGGGCTTTATATGACAGTGAAAGAAACAAATTTGTGTATTTATTATTATTTTTATTATTTTCATTATTATTATTATTATTTCATACCTGTTTTATTTTATTTCTTTGTATAGTACCAAATATGTTCTAAAGAGTGACAGATTCCTTATTCTCAAGTATTTTATTGAGCCAAAGTTTATTAAGTCAATATAAAGTCAGGCAAGGGCTAACTTCTTGGACTATAATAAATGCTCAGAAGACCAGGAACACATTTTTTTAATAAAATAATTTTCTGCAGGATTGAAAGCTTCTAGCTTTCTTCATTTGGTTTTGAACTAGAAGGGTTTGAAGAGAACCCAATTTAGCTGTTACTAAGGTCCTACCCAAAGTCTGAGCTCAAATATGATTAAAGCCAGAAGTGAAAATCTCACCGTTAAAGATCAATAACTAAACTTTCTATTAACTTTTTCATTGCACTGATTATATTTGTCTTTGGCATATAATAATATAGTTTTATTTTGTATTGAACAGAAGGTTGCTGTAATTGTTGCCACAGTTGGTGCAATCATGTCCATAAAAAACTTCAACAATGCTTTCAACAATAATCATCAACGAGTAGGGGTGGCTCTCTATGGTATTATCTGGCTTCAAGCCCTTCTCGGTATTTTTAGACCTCGAAGGTAAATTAATGAATTGTCACTTTCTGTTTCAAAGATCCCTTCAACTCAGCAAGTTAGATCACTTGTTGCTGAAACATAATCTTGATTTGCCCTCATTACTCAATTATGAGACTTTGATAATAGTATGTCAATGACCACTTTAGAAGTTTCAAGAGGCGATTCAAGACTAATTTAACAAATAGTACACACTTGAACATAATTGGAAGTTCTCCCCCAGAAAGTTGGTTGTTTTGGGAGAGAATCATTTTAATTGAGTATCACATTGCACAGATTATACTACAAAAAGCCTATTTTTGGATTTGGGAAATTACCCTTAATTTGGGCCTGACAAGTTCAAACATGAATTAGTCATAGATTGAGAGACCTAGTAATAAGTTCATGCCCTGTAAGGGCCTGTCTCCTTGTACACTGTGACACTTCATAGATTCTCTACAAGCATTCTTTATAGAGCAATTGAACGCCAACTTTGACTCCAGGTATTAGACACTTGGGTGAAAAATCTTTTTCCAAACTAGCTATTGACTGTTGAGGTAGGATAGAGAATAGCTATCTTCAAATATCTCATTGAACAATTTACCCTACTGCATTTGATGCTTATGTATCAATATTTCAGGCCATTTTTTGTCAATTTTAAAAAAAAAAGCTCAACATTTTCTAGTGTCATCATTCTACATGATTGGAAAGTTTCAGTAATCAAAGTCATAATAATCTTTCCAGGGGATCTAAAAGAAGGAGTGTATGGTTCTTTCTGCACTGGATACTTGGAACTGTGATTTCCTTCCTGGGAATTCTGAATGTATATATAGGCTTACAAGCCTACCAAGAGAAGACATCAAAAAGCATAAGAATATGGAACATACTGTTCACTATTCAGCTTGTTATCATTATGTTCTTCTACCTTCTTCAAGACAAATGGGTTTACTTGCAGAAGAAGCAAGGAGTGATTTTGGACAATGAATGTCAAGAAATTTCTTCAGATATCAAGCAGAAGGAAATGAAAGCTGAGTCTTGTTGAGAGAGACTTTTACTTTTATAGGTTTAAACTATGTGAAAATTCTCGAATAAGTTGATTGTTTTTAAAACTGGCACAATCATTTAAAGATTGTCAGCTACATATTAGTGAGTTAATTCTTTTTTGTAATATATTTGTATTTGAATGTGCAAATTTGTGAACTTAATTTAAATGTCATTCATCTCATGGAGATTACAAAAAAAAAAAAAAGATGCAGCTAATTTGTGAGATGTTACGCTCTGTTATCTTCTGAGATTTCTAGTTCATGAGGACTAGAAAGTAAATACAATACCCAAAAGTTCACTGGGTGAATATATATTGAATTTGGTATACAAGAAAATACTTTCTAGAAAAAAGATAATAAATGCACCTAAAAAGAAATAAGATGGGTATATTTTCTTTTTTTAGAAAATATTTTTCCACCTATTGAACAAGTTGGATTTGGACTCACCAAAACCAATGCAATTATATTAGTTCAAAAGGCGTTTATAAAATATTAGTCATTTTGTTCTCAAACTGATATCAGGCACATTTACAAGGTATGTGTTGTATGTTTACTAACTTGACTAAGTAATTTTGAGCTTTTATTTTATTTTAACAGAGAGTAAAATTTAAAGAAGGTAAATATTTACAAGAAGTAGCTGATGTTATATGTATGTATATTTTTAAAATCCTTCAAGCAAAAGAAAAAAATATCCTTACCTCTTCAAGTTGATAAAATAGGAATATATCTCCTCCAAGTAGTTATTTCTTTTGATTTGTTTACTAGGAGGATGATAATTAGATCCTAAAATTTTAAATTACTAATAGTTAGGTCTTACCAATTTTTTTAAAAAAGTAAATTAAAAATATCGATTCAAATAATTATAAATTTTAAAATTTTTAATTATAAATAAATAAATAAATAAGTATCCTACATAATTTTTAGATTATAATATAAATTTGTATTTATAACAGTTTGAATTGATATTTATCATTTATATTTTAAAAACTTTTATTAGGAACTTCATTGTCATTGATTTAATTTTTTGAGATCTAACTTTCATTTCATTGTCTCTTGTTTATTTGAACTTCACTGTGCCTTTTATTTAAAAAAAAGGAAAAAAAGAAATATTCATTCAGATTAAGCGAAGCATTATGAATATTATTCAGATGTACGTGATATTATATCTTCCCAATAGTTTCTTAAAACCCTTATCATGCTCCCGCCTGCCAGTCAATCACCGGATTACAAAAGGAGAGAGGTATGCAACCTAACTTTTAGAATATAAAAGCTGAAATGACATATGAATCTCTCTAAAATAAGGGATAACAATTTAATTTTATAAAATATAATAATGACTGTAAAATTTTATATAATTTCTTTGAAATTAAATTTTCAAAAAAAATATTTAGTACTCCTCTACAATTTAAAAAATTATAATTTTTTAAATTATTTTAGTTATTAGCGAAATCAAACTTGTAAATACTTATGTCAAACTTGTAAATGACATAAAATTAATTTAACTTTACTGATTAAAAATATTGCTAATAGAAAGTTATTATTTTTTAAATTATTTTAGTTATTGATGAAATCAAACTTATAAATATTTATATTAAACTTGTAAAGCATATAAAATTAATTGTAAAGAAATAGTAAAGTAACTTTATATAACAATTTAATCTCAAAAAGTCTCTTGGAACATTACTGTCATTATCACATTTTGAAGGGCCAATTGTTATTTTCCTGTTTCTGAGAAATTTTTCTATCATTCTCCCTTATTAATATCAACCTTAATTAATAAGTTATCAATAACAAAATATCAATATATCTAAGTCTAACAGCAACAAGTTAGGGCGTTGTGCATGAAAAATAATTATTAATTAACTATAGTGAGAGGGCTTTTATTAACTAGGTCTCAACCCAACATAAATTTGCATTAATTTTGTTAGTGTTAAATGTTTGATAATTTGTAAAAAAAAAGATTATATATCCAAATAATAAAATTCACAATAAATTGTGTGTTTTTTTTATATAAACTATGACTATTATAAGTTATTGAGTTCTAATTTGTTTAGTAAGATGTGAGCCGACTGCGGTTAGATTAAATGAAACAGATTCAATTTTGAAATAAAATGTAAGCTTTAGTTACAAAATTTTTCAATTATCAATTTATTTTTTAAATTTTGATTTAAAATAACTTAATTCTTATATTTTTTGACTCAATAAAACTTCATCCCTATAATTTTTTAACTCAATAAACTATAGATATTAATTTGTACTAAATCAAAGTTCAAAAATTAAATTAAATTGATAATTGAAAGAAATTTAAATTAAAAAGCTAAAAATTATATTATCCTTCAATTTTTGTTGGGTTAATATGTAATTTGGATATTAAACTATAGGTCTAAGGAGAATTTGAATGTTAAACTTATATTTGGTACATTCTCAATATTAAATAATTAAACTTGAGGCAATTTTAACCTTACTACTAAATTAAAACATACGTTGGTTACTTTTGAAAGAAATGGGACATAATGTGAAATTTTTTTTAAATAAGGGTGTGAGAGAGATGGAGAGTGAAATTTTATACAAATGTTATATTAGATCCCATTTCTAAAAAGTAACAAGTGTTTATTTTAATTAAACAATAATGGTGAATTTACTCCAAATTTAATTATTTAGTGTTCAAAATATTACAAATACAAAATTAAAAGTCAAATTATCTTTAAACTTATAGTTCATGATTGAAATTATATATTAACCCATTTTTTTAAAGAGAAAATTGATATTCAAAACTTAAGAATGAAAATTATTTCTTCCCGTTCAATGTCAATCATATTTCACATATCAATAAAAATAATTATTTTTTATTTCCATAAAATAATGACGTGCCTTTTTTTTTTTTTAAGCTTAGCTAAGTGTCTAATTGGATTATATTTCCCATGTTTACATTAATTTGAAAAGACCAACAGGGGCTGGGTTTAATAAAAAAAATTAATCTTTGTTAATATAACAAATTAAAGTTCAAATTCTTGTCAGAAGAAATACCCATATTTGTTATTCGATTGTATTTTAAATAGAATTATTTTCAATAAAAAGATATATACGAACACTAAAATAATAAATTTAAAAATTACTAAATATTCTATATTTTAAGCTAAGTTTAAATAGGTAAAAAGAAAAAAGAAAAACTCTCACTTAGGGCCCTCAGAACATAGACATGTGCATTTAGAGCTCAATACAATTTGAAAAATCTTTGTTGACCCCTTAAATGGAAATATGTTTTAATAAAAAAAACAGATTTACCCTTCCTCTCTCCATAACTATACAAATGTTCATAAATTTTTAACATAATCTCTTGTAATATACAATTGGTTCAATAAAAATAATTTAATTTAAAATGTACAAATTGCGTAGGATGAAAGAATAATATATATATATACATAAATTTACAATGCAATGCTCATAAAATTTTAACACAATATCATTTAATGTACAATTAATCTAATAAAAATGATTTAATTTAAAATGTATAAGTTACACAGGATAAAGAAATAATAGAATATCTATAAATACATAATACAATAATCATAAATTATTAATATAATATTATGTAATTGACATAAAATATCTAAGAACAAATGTATTTTTTTAATTAAAATATATTTTCATTTAAAGCCTTACAAAGAATTTTCAGATCAGCCTTAAATGCAAAATTTTGTTCACTCCCAGCAGAAAATGTCCAACATATGGCCCGTGACAGTATTGGATAATTATATTAACAAATAAACAAAGATGCAATTTGATAAACGGGCGGTGAGGATTGCGGAATACGATGCCGAGCCAAGTAGCGCCTTTTAGGAGCGGAATACGATGCCGAGCCAGTTTTTAAGCACACACGAAGAAGAAAGATAGCACCTTTATTCTTCCCTGAATAAAGGCGATGCTAGTTCTCTCTCTCCATTTAGCTTCTTCAATAATGCACATAGATCAAGAACAAGAAGACGAGGTGGGATCTGCGCTGCGTTAATGGCGAAAGCTGCTAAACGCGGTTTGGATGAGAGGCCGCAAGATGATGCTCATCATCCTTACGCCTTTCATGTCTCTGGTCCTCGCAATTTCTCTCTCTCTTGGAGGGACCTCCTCAATTCTAGTTGGTCAGTAACCTTGTCAAATCCCCCTTCTAATCTTACTGAAAATCAGATGAATTTTACCTCCTTTCTTATAGGCTCCATTGCCGGTTCTTAACCGCACTGATTCCAACTTGTCATAACAAGTTTACCACTGATCATTACAGAATAGGATTGCGAACTACATGTAGGGTTCTGGAATGAAGATGTTTACAAATTAGGTGTTAACATATAAAAGGGTTTCAAGACTGAAGGAACTATCACGAAATATAAAAGACAGGTGGAAATGAATTTTTTGTTACGGAATCTATTTGAATTATAAATGGATGCGATATAGTTAATCAACTAATGGATGCTATATATTGCAGATCGATTTACCCTCTTGATCAGTGCAAGAACATAACTGTACTTCATATGGTATTAGGAATTTCCTGTGTCAAGTCTTAGAATTTCAATCAATTTTGAAAGATAAATGGATTTTAGAGTATGAATGTAAAGAAAAATGCTTTACCAATTGAGTTCCTAAAATGTTTACTTGTTGCTTATTAAGGAAGGAACTATCACCGAACAGAAAAGAAATGTGGGAATGAACTCCTTGTTGCTGAATCTGTTTGAATTGAACTAGGTGAAACACGTTACAGAGAATCGATAAGTAACTTCTTATTGATCTTGATCCTTTTCTTTTAATTTTAATTTCTACTTTCAGCTCTTTCTGGGTCTTTGTCTAGTGTGATTTTGTGACAAGAATCACAGAGAAGTTATAATTTGTTGGGTAAAATATGAAGAGTAAGTTACACTTTGTTTTCCAAATATGCACAAACTTTCTTTGAAAATAAAATAGAAGTTTGCATACTCATGCCAGTACAATTCAAAAGAAATCTATGTAATTTACTCTTTTGTTTTCAAGAGAAGTTTGCATAGATTTTTGAAAATGAAAGGGAAGTGCATGCAATTTTAACAAACCTCAATCAAGTGCCGTTTAATTCACTTAACTATAAATGATGATAGTACATACAAAATAAAACGTGCTCATATCTGTTTTAACTTTCGTAGAAAGCCCGGAATTTCTTATATTTACCCTCCATTTATCATTATTCTATTGAAATGTTGATCTATCAAAGAGAAACCAACACGGCATCACTTAACTAGCTCATGTAATAGTATAATATTTTGTCACTATCAAACAATTCCTTCCTTCCTTCCTTTTCAAGTGCTTGCCCTGTTTTTTCGTTTGGTTTTATTTACTGTATGCATCAGAACATGACAAGTATTATCTTGCTACTAACCTCAGCAGGATCCATTTCCTCTTCATTCATCATCTTCAAAACTCACGTGTTTGCACCAAAGTTTCATTGACACCTCTTACATCTTTTAATAATTTCGGCATGTGTGTGTGCTGATTGGTATTTTATACGCATACAGGAAGGATGAAAATTATAAGAGAATTGTCATTGCCTGTTTTATACAGGCAGTTTACTTGCTCGAACTTGACAAACAAGAGAACCGAACAAAAGAAAATGCTTTAGCTCCAAATTGGTGGATCCCCTTCAAGTACAAGCTCACTCAAACTTTGATTGATGAAAGAGATGGATCGATCTTTGGTGCAATATTTGAATGGGATCAACGTGCAGCAATGGCTGACTTGTTATTAGCTAGACCTAGTGGTGCCCCTAGGGCAGTTTTAGCACTCAGAGGAACATTACTCAAAACACCAACCATTCGAAGAGATATTGAAGATGACCTTCGTTTTCTTGCTTGGGAAAGCTTGAAGGGATCTTCTAGGTTTAAATTAGCTTTGGAGGTACTCAAGTCTGTTTCCAAGAAATACGGAAGCAGCAATGTCTGTATTGCAGGGCATTCTTTAGGGGCTGGGTTCGCACTTCAAGTAGGAAAGGCACTAGCAAAAGAAAGGATATATGTGGAGACACATTTATTCAATCCACCTTCTGTTTCACTGGCAATGAGTTTGAGATACATGGGCAAAAAGGCAGAATCGATTTGGAAGAGACTGAAATTAATGCTTCCTTCAAGTAGCGTTGAAGGCAAAACTCTGAGTGAAGGACTATCACATCAATCAACCAGCTTGAATACTTCTGGCTCTGGGCTGGGAAAATGGATTCCATATCTGTATGTGAATGACAGTGACTATATCTGTTGTTATTACACTAGTCCTGATGATGTCAAGGGCAGTATGGGTATTTCAAATGGGCAAGTTTTAGCAAAGATGTTTGTGGTTTCCAAGGAGAAACAGAAGTTCCTGGAGGCTCATGGCTTGGCACAATGGTGGTCAAGTGATGCGGAGCTTCAGCTGGCTATTCAAAATAGTAAGCTCATAAGCAGGCAGCTTAGATCTTTATATATGGTTGCAACTTCATGATTAACATTGGGAAAGCATCAGAGGAAATGGATTTTACTTCTTATTAAAAAAAAGAAAAGGAAATGGGTTTTACTCTGATTGTTTGATAAATGGTTTTTTTAAAATCCTGATAAGACTGCTTTCCGTGGATCGTAAACGGATAGTCAGATATTGATATTTCTTCTGCTTCATTATATTTGTTGAAAAAATTGTATGATATACCCAAGTCCATATGAGGTCCTTCTTCTGTCAAGTTCTCCAATGGAATTGTATTAGTGAATATTTAGGCGTCTAGAGCCATAAAATTTGGGCGCCTTTCAGTGGGAAGTTTCTGCCTGGGTTTGTCCTTAGAGGAAATGCCAAATTTATGAAGCTGTGACTTAAAAGTTGAACGACTAATTCGGGAGATTAATAGTTTAGCAAGTGAACAGAAAATCAAGGAAATTTCTTCGTCTGAGTTGACAGAAGTAGTTAGAACTGATTGGGATTTCCCCCATTTCAAAATTGGTAAGTTTAGACGTTTTTGTTATGTCCGTGCAAGTGAATTTACTGAAAATGATAACTATAGTTGGTTTTTGACATGACTTGCATATCTTGTGTTATTTGACTTGTTCTAAAAAAATATCTCCTAATTCTATTTTTTTAATATCTGGTATTACTGATTAATTTGGATTAGAGATAAACTCTTTCAATATGATTTTTCCCCCACAGAGCTGAAACCTTAAAGAATGTTGAGTATTTTGTCACTTAATCTAACCACTAATCTTTTTCCATACTAATTAAATTAATGAGTTATTCTTTTTAAAATATAAACTCTAGAGATGGAAATAAACGTAGCTCTTTTTAGCTTATTTACGTCTTAGACTAAAGAGGTTAGACTCAAGTCTATTTATAAATTTATTTATAGAAATAGGCCAAGCCTTTTTAATTAAAATCTCTAACTTGAAGGTTGTCAAATCAACATGTTTGATAAATTATAAAAGTAATGATTAAAATATTTTTTTAATATGTTAAGTATGCTTTGATTGAGTTGAAGCCTATTTAAAGACTTTAAAGATCTAGCTTTTAAGCCTATTTAGAGGTTTACTTAAAAAAATTAACCTTTAAATAGGCAAGTCAAGCTTTTGGCAAGCTTAGACCTGAGTTTAGAAAAGGCCCTTGTACATGCCATAAACTCAAGCTTAAAGGCTGAAGTTTAGAAAAGGGCCTTGTATATGCCAACAACTCAAGCTTAAAGCCTACCGTACAAGCCAAGTAACTCCTAACTCCTTTAAGTCTTACATAATTGCTAAATTATATCTCGACTAACTAACGGATCCCTGTCAAAAGAAAAGGGGGGAAAACTTGATAGTGATGAAGGGAACAACTGGATTTATACAGAAGTGTACACTTTAGGATTATTAATTCCGTTTTCCTCAATAGAAACAACTATATAGAGTATAAACACTAAGAGCAAACCAGCAAAGAAAAATTCATGGCTGAAGTATTTTGGTTGATCTGCTATAAAAAGACACGCTATTATAGCAGTCCCCACAACTCATACTCATATGTGCTGACCTCTTGCTCTGGCTGTGCATAACAATCATGCAAGAAATCTCTTTCAACTTCTGCATCAAAAAGCTGTGTTTCCAGATTCTGATATGCCAAGAAATGGTCCATACTTTGGTTTGCCTCGGATCTTCCTAAGGTTGTATCATCCAGACATGTCTGGTTGTAGCAGCAGAACTCAGAAGATGAACAGGAGGTTGTTGTATTTGCCTCAGAAGAAGACGATGCTGAAACCTCAGAAGAATCAAAACTGGCTTCAAGTTCAAGGTGGTCTGTAATCTGAACATCGTCTGCAAGAATAATGCAATTCTGAGGATCCATTTTTGGTGCAGAAGAAGGTGAATATGAAGATGCTGATATGGTTGTTGAGCTTGCAGTATTATTGCCAGTTAGCTCTTGAACAAGCTTCTTGAAGCCAGAGCTGTGTGTGATGTAGACCTTTGGTCTCAAAGCCTTAATCAAGCTGCTCAATTGTTGCTTCTGGTTCTTGGGTATTTTCAGTGATGCTTCGCTTAGTTTCTTTCCCATGAAGACGATGATGATGATGATTCCAATGTTTTGCAGCTAGCTGGCTCCTTTGATATCAGCTCCAACCTCACACAGAAGTCCAAGGAGCCATATATGAATAAATAATCATTTTATAGGGAGGATGGGTTTAAAGATCATAACAGACTAGATGATGAAGTTGATGTTGATCCATTAAAAACAATGAATGTAATATAAATTAACGATTGTCTTATTAGGAGTTTCAATATTTCATAATCACTTGCCAACCTTGTATTAATTTTTCAAGATTTATTTACAAAAGAGGGAGAGGGAGATAGAGAGAGATTAATGCATAATAATGAGTTCTACTTATCAATATTATAGTAGTAATTGTAACGTTTCAAATTTCAATTGTATGATGTGGAATATCCATTGAAATAGGATCCTATTATTTTGTGTCTATCTTTTGCCTCACTCATTTAAAATTATTTCAAATGTGACTTGTGAGTATATTTTTATTATTGCTTTACTTGTCAACATCTTTTTTTTTAATATTGTTTCTCTATCTATCACTTTAAAAGATGAAAATGCTGAGTTTTGTATTTATGTGGAGATATAGAGTTGGTCAATTCAATAGGATGTTTTTTTTTTTTGGGAATTAATATATACATATATACACACACATTTTGCTGATATAGAATATAGAGCGTGAGGTAGAAGGGCATTGAGGGCACGCAGCTTACTGTTTAATTAACATTAAATAATGCAACTCTCGGCCCAAGTTGTTTCTGTGAAGGGACACTGTTATTGTATAATGTACAATATAGGTTTTTCACACCGGAATTTCCCTAGAATTTGTGTAAGGTGTTTTTATAGGCACAAGTTAGGTTTTTTTTTTTTTAATAGAGCATTATAAGTTAGTTTTGTATGACATAGAATGCTTAAGTTCTACGTCAAGTAGTATGGTGCAAAAGGTTTTTTCTCTCTGTTTTTTTTTATATAAAAAAATCAATAATAAAATACAATAATTGAGTAGTAAAAAAGTCTAAAGGACAAGGAAGGCAAGAAAGTAGATCACAAGAAATATCAAACCCAATCATGCCAAATAAAGTATTGAGCTTGTGGATGTCTTGTACTCAAAGTTAGAGCAAATAATATTTTAACAATAATCTATGAAAAAGCTTCTTGCAAATGCATTAGAGGAAGATGCAATTTTGCAAAGAGAGGATGTTATGGAGGTAAGCATTGATCTATGTTAAAGTAGCCCGAATACAAATGAAGTTGAAATAGTTGAATTTGTGATAATTGAACATCTCAACTTGATGTTGTGTGAAAATTTGAATTGCACAAAAAACAAAGCTAACCAAAGAGTAATTCCTCTAATCTTATATTTGGTCATTCTAACAATCCAAACCAAACGATTTGGTATTTTAGCACCCTAGTTTATCCTAGATAAGGAAGCAAAGTGATGACGAGAAGATTGCAATTTAGTCTACTGTGACCACTAACAAACATTCAACATATAAAAACAAGTCCAATGAAATTCTTTTACCACTTCTGCGAGAGGTAATATGATGCCCAATGAAAACCTACTTCATCAAAGAGGAAAAAGGGATAAAGTTTCAAACCAAACGACATTTACATTACTACAAGTACAACCACTAAAAAGATATGATATAGTTTCAGAGTCCATGCAACCAGAAACATATGGTAAGTTTTTTTTTTTTTTTATCGATCATAAGTTATACAACATTGTTATTTTGTTCTTATTTATCACATGATATCCTGAAAAATTTAGAAATACAACATTGTTATTTGGTCCTTATTTTATCGCATGATATCTAAATTCTCACTGTACGGAACTGTTATTTAACATGAATTCATTACAACATTGTCATTGTGGGGAATTTTGGTATGATTCTCCCAAATATCTTTCACACCCATAAAGATATTGCTGCAGAACAAACAAACAAGAAAAATATCCTTATAAAAGATCCAATTACCCTCCACATCCTTTCCTTATTACTTAGCAAAATATAGATATATAATACTCAAAATATTCTTTTCGTCTCATTTTATAAGATAGTTTTTAAAGTAATTTGGTGTTTCAAAATATAAGATGTTTTAAAAAATTAAAGTTTTATTAATAATAATTATTTCAATATTACCTCCATTATTCCGCCCTTTAAATAAGTTTTCCCCCTCCCTCTTATTAATGAATGATGTTTTTAGAAATTATAGAAAAATTGATATTGTAAATTGTATTTATAAGTTTTATTGACATATATAATTTTGTTAAAAAATATTTTATAAATTAAGGCGAACAGAATCGAATGGTAATGATTGCTTGTTTTACACACACGTGAGCTTGAAAAGGAAGCGTCGCGTAATTTACTGATTTAGTTTGTATGAACGCACGCGCACACGATGTCACTCTCAGCCTCACGTTCACATTTAAACATGTAATTTTGGAATTCGCTGTCCATAAAAGGCGACCTTCGATTCCCAACAAAATGGGCTCTCTGATTAACATCAACTAATTAATAATTAATAATCAAATATTTTTGGTTTAAAAAAAAGGGCCCTTTCATGATGAGGGGACCAAATATGAATATTCCGTTCGGTTTCGGGTCATTTTCTCACACTTCGTTTTACATTTTTTGGAAACAAAAATATTCTCTAAACTACTTAACTTTACAATGGATCTTTCTGCCTAATTTTAATTTAACGTGATGATTAAAGCATTACTTTAAACTCTGTCAATTGTCACTTGACACCCTCTATTTTGTCCACCACTCTCTAGTTCCATGGATCAGAAGTTCCTTCTGACCATTCAATTTGTAGAAGATGTTGGATTAAAATATATTCTCTCCCATCCAAAATATAAACATTTCTTCACAATTAATTTTGATTTAAATATAAACAATTTAATATATGTAAAAACTTTTTTTCCATTTTACCTCTTCTACTTATTAATCTAGATCCTTGTGTAAAATTATTTCATAATCACATCATATAGTATATTGGTAATTAAAACTAAGAATAAAAGAAAAAAAGAATACATATTTTTATAAGAACGAGGATATCATAGATATGTAAACTTTTTCTAAAAACTGCTTATATTTTGGAGGAGAAAGCATATCTCTAATCCCAATCCTTGTTGTATGTAGCAATTTAGTTGGAAAAAAAATATACCCTCTGCCCTTCGTACCCTGGAGGAAAACTCTCTGGTATTGACGGTTCTGCTTCTTATACTTGGCCCCAAAAAAAAAAAAAAATTATCTCTGGTCTCATGAAACCCATATTTTATGAGAACTTGCCCCAGCATGCGTGGTTGAATGCACAGTCACTTGCAAATAAAATAATGTTTAGAATCACTGGAGAAAATTAAGTCCATGAAAAAATAATTAATAACCTACAGTACATAAAACAAGAACTTCTGGGTAATATTGCTACAGATAAGAATGATGTAACAAAGGATTTCAAGAAAAGAGAACTACTATTAATCTTGAGGGATATACTACATTACTAGCTTGTGTCTTTCG